TCATGTACTGTCTAACTGTGATGTTTGTCCCAAGTCTTTCTCATTGTTGCAGACATAAACATGCCAACTATTATCGTTGAACTCAATTAATTGTCCTACTTCAATATCATCGATAAGGTCCAAAAATATTTTCCTGTTCAAACTAACTATATACTTCATTTTATATTGACCATTGCCTGGACAAACATCATTTGCTACCATGCTTTGTAGTGCTTCATATATCATTCCTTTTCTTATCAATCTTCTACTTATAATACTCTTTTAATATACCAATTTTCCTTTTAAGATCTTCACAAATTCCCCTCTTATATGGAAGATGTAAAATAGTTATTTTCTGCCATCACCAGCCATTTATAATCCGTTACTGCACATCCGTTACTGCACATCATTCAATTAATTTCAATCAATTTTCAATAATAATAGATAATAGGCATTAACAACAAGAATTTGCGGTTTTACAACAGAAATATCAGTTTTCATAACATTAAATTGTCATTTTTCAGTACAACTCCAATTTACAAATTTACAATCTGAATACATATTTTCACAATTGCAAGTTACCATTTTTCTGCACATTTCATTTTCATATCACCCATTTCAACACGTTCACATATTTTCCTTTCAGTTCTCCCTTCCTAAATTCCTTCAACAACGTATTACAGCCAGTGTTCACCAATTCTCACCCACTTTTCAAAAATCACTAACACATTATATTTATTAACTTCAAAGAAGAAGAAGATAACAATCTCTCTTTAAAGAAGAAGAAGATGATGATAATCTCTTTCTAAACATAAAAACTATATCAGATTTTTTTCTCTCTCACTACCTACTTACCCATATATTTAAATATTCATTTATATATTATTCAACTATCACAACCCAACTATACTCGATAGAAAAAAAAATTTGAAAAAAATAGTTTATCTCACACATCAGGCTCTTCTTTTTCCCTCTTTCTTCTTCCTTTTTAGCAAATACAGTTCACAGAGCATTTCAATAAAATAGCTTTAGTAATTAATTTCAATTTGTCCCTTGGACCTTTTAATGAAATTTCAGAATCTTTAACTAAAATTTTAAATTTTTTTTAAGAGTTGTTTGAAATTAACTCCCATTTGTTACCCTTAATCAAAATTTTTCCTAGGCCTTATCACTACTCATTGCTGGCTACTTCCCTTTGTCCTTTTTGTCAGCATTTAGGTTCTTACATTGCTTCCATATTTTTAGATTCCAGTATCTCTTCTTTTTTTTTTTTTCGGTTACAAGAGAGGGGATCGAACCCCTACCCACACACCCCACACACACCCACCCATACCACTAAACCAAACGGTTTGGTGGTATTCCAGTATCTCTTCTTTAATTCACCCAATCACTACTAAAAGTCCAATTCTTTCATACCAAAATTCGAATATTGAAGCCGCAACAGTGATGGAGGTGAAGGCGGTTTGACTTTGTTCACTGTTCTTTTGGGTGAGCACAAAATCAGTACTTTCTAACGAGCAGCCACATCTTCATCTCTAGGGGTATTTAGATGGAATCAAAATCATAGTTTTAAAAATATTTTTACAGTATATAAAATAAATATATAAAAAAAAATTTATCTCGATATGTGAAAAAATATTTCTGAAAAATAATTTTTATAGTGTCCAAACACTCTTTTCGTCTCCCTCTTCTCCTTCCTCTATTCTCTTCTTCCAGCTCTCCATCTAACTCACACTTTGCTCCTTCTCCTTCAGGATCAGGATGCCATCAAGACCAAACGAGACATGGGATAAAAAAAGTCATCTTGATGGGACTGGCCCATAAACACTCCTAATAAAAATCCGTGTAATAATAGGGACTTATGGGCATTCGAGTTTTCGCCCAGCGGGGCCGTCTGGTTAGTGTCTAGTGAGGTCCAACCAAGCAACCCCGGTCTAACAAATCTCGCAATTACTTTTTTTTTGTCTTTTATTATAAAATCTATTTTTTTAAATAGGTTTGTTTTTTTATAAGATTTTTTTGAATTTGTCTGAATATTTCATATATTATTACCTATATTATCTCTAGTTTAATACATTCTTTTTCTTTATTTATCTTACTATTACTCTCCCACATCTACTCATTTATATATAGGGGTATATTTGAAAAAAATTATATTTACTATATATTAATTATTTTTAACTAATTTTAACTATTTTTTTAGACCGTACAATTTAGTTAAAAAAATTTTATAATAAATAACGGAATAGTACATAAAAGGGCCTTTTATAAAAAAAATTTAAAAGATAAATTAATTCAAACGCGTCAACGCAGAGTTATTTGTATACGTATGTATGTACGTGTTGGATTTAAATAATATTTTTATCTGCCGACGAAGAATAGCTTGTCCTGCCAACGTCATTCAGTGAGTTAGAACTTGGACAATTTCATCAGCCATATATTTGTTTTCATTTTTGATAGTTTTTTTTTTTCATTGGGACTTCATCACGATTCTCTTTCTTATTCAAAGCGCAACAGTTTTTATTTTTATCTTCAATAATTAAAACCGAGGACATGGATTATTATTATTATTTAAGGAGAGATCAGAGAAAGATTTAAAATCATAAAAATGCAGGTGGATTTCAGAATACCAACGGAGCAGTCTCCTCTGCATGATGGTGGCGAGGAGAAGAGGATCGGCGCGCTTGGAATGCCGTTTCCGCCTCCAAAAGTACAGGGAAAAGCGTGTGACCAGTGTTAGAGGCTTACTTTCACAAAACTTATTATTGTTTGGGTAGAGCTGGTAATACAGGCCGGGTCTGCGAGCCCAACCCGTCAGCCCGCCAAAAAAGACGGACTCGCATTGGCAATATACCAGCCCGTCAAGGTGCAGGCTATTTCAACCCGTACTGTTTTGAGCCCGCTCTGCCGTGGGTTGGCCCGTTTTTTTTTAATATAATTCCTAATATAGTTAAAATATTTTGACTCTTAAATTCCACATGAACAATTAAACATTGCCTCTTTTATATCATTGCATAAGTAATTAAACACTTTTTATATTTGTGATTATGTGTGTAATTATACGAAGATCGTCGTCCGTCTTTTATTTTTCATTTATTTGTTGTGTCACTATAAAAGCCTTTATAAAACTAAATAAACATGTGATACTTATATATTTATACATAAAATATCTACTTAATTAATTTGGATAAGAAAACTAAATTACTTTGAATAAAAAAACTAGTTAAATTAATTATTTATAAAAAATATATTAGTTTTAAAAAATATATTTTTAAATTATAAATTAATCTTCACTTTATTTTATCATAACTCACTACTCAAATTCAAGATTCAAAGCCTAATTTTAACATTTTAAAATAAGCTCAACCTGTATTAATAATAATAGTTTTTATTTAAAAAAAAAGAATATGTAACGGGCTGCCAGCCCGCCAAGGTGCAGGCTACTTCAGCCTGCACCGCTTTGGGCCCACACCGTCGTGGACTGACCTATATCCGTACCGCCAGCCCGCATTACTACCTCTATGTTTGGGTCAGCGTTCTGTGGAATGAGCTTTTGGGTCCAAAGGTTCGTTACCGTAAAAGCTACTTTTTGAACGAAAGCCCATCTCTACGTGGAGAGAAAATAGAAGATGGGATGAAAAGAAAGATAATAAAATTTAAGTGGGTCATATCTTAATCTAATAATTTGATGTTTAAGAAAAATATTGTAGGAAGAAAATAACTAACTAATAAAATTTAATTTTTTTTAAATTTCTCAAATTTTACACATATGATATACTATTTCTAGTCATTAGTATAAGACACAACAGACTAATCTGAAGAGATTAGGAAAAACTAAGGGTCCATTTGGATCAACGATTAGAAATGTAGCTTATTAGAAAAGTAGTTTTTGGAAAAGTAAATTTGGTTAAAAGCTAAATTGGATAAGCTGAATTGTGTTTGGATTGGAGTTCAGAAAAGTTAGTTTGCAAAAATGATATTGGTAAAAAGTTGTTTGGATTATAGTTGAGTAAAAGTAAGTTTGGTTATAAAATGACCAAAATGGGTATGAGTTTTAATAAATAATGAAACATGATTAAAAAAATGATTTCACGTAATACAATGAAATTAAAATAATTTAATATGAAGAAGTTAAATTTAATAAGTGAATTAAATTTAAAACTTTAGAGAAATCATAAAAAAAAATATTTTAAATATAAAGTGAAACATAGAAAAAAAATGAATTGAGATAATACAATAAATTAAAATTAATTTAATATGAATGAGTGAAATTGATTGAGTAAATAAGTTCGAAAACATCACATAAATGAAAAAGAAAATATTGTAGAAGGGAGGGGACTTGGTACTGCTGTGGAGAAAAAAAAAGTGAAGTCACGAGAATAATAATGCCAGAAGGGAGAGAAAGAGGGAACAACAGTTTTCTGACACACTCAGAACAGTAAATAAGTTCTTCAGGGTTGAAAGTAGGCTCCCTCCTCTAGGTTATTTTAAACGCACGATTGGACAATTTAAATTTCCATAAGCCCATTATAGGATATGCCCTCCCAAACAATACCTCCTAATTGAATCGGGCTTATTTGCATTTTAAGCCATGTTTGGGCCAGCAAACGCTAACCCAAACAGGTACTAAATAAATTGTTTGATTATGTCATATGTTACAGGGTCTTTATGGATATCACTAGATTACATATTAGTTTATAAGTCAAGCAAATTAGTTTAGAGAAAAATGATACCCTTTTCAAATTTTGTACACAGAGTACAATTTTTCCTAAAATTTAAGTATTTTAGTATTTTTAAAATTTTCACATCAATGCATTAATTATTTTTATTTTTATAATTTTAATTTATATTATATATAAATAATATAAATATGTATTAACTCTTTTATTTTTATAATTTTTATTTTAATATATTATTTTTTTAATTTTATCAAATTATATATATATACACATATATGAGATATATGTTATAACTTGTTTAGTTATTTTACTTAAACTTACTTTTTTATTACTCATCCAAACAAGTTTTAATTTAACAAAGTAATTTTTATTAAAATCCAATCCAAACATACATTAACTGACTTTTATTTATCCTACAAAAATCAGCTAGGATAATTCAGTTTTGCCACCTACTAATTTAAACACACCCGCTACTGATACGATGGTGAAGTCCAAGTCGCAGATGGACGTGTTAGTTCATCCGACGGCACAGAGTGATTCCATCACCAACAGGAAGCATGCAAATATCAATCCTAGGGTCCACAGCAAGAGCCTTGTTGAGCTCCAACACAAAGTCTCTAAGGGACATGACGTGCTCATCAAAAGACATGTCAGGCGATGTCACGACAGACCCATTCCATAGGGTGTTGTCGTAGGCAATCACACCCCCAACCCTAACCAACTCGATCAACCTCCCGTGATAGTTCAGATAATTGTTCTTGTCGGCATCCACAAATATGAAATCGAAGCTTCCATGATTGTTCTCCTGCATATACACACACACACGCGAACACAAACTCTTTCAAATTTCTGTTTGTTTCTTTGTGTTTTTGAGAGAAATTTAGAGATAAAGATGAAGATATATACTCTTCTCTTCTTTATACATATTAGTATAGTATAAGAATATTATATTTAGGATCGGAAGAGTAGTTTATTTTCAAGAAAAGAGAAAATGGAAGAAAGCTTACATCTTTGAACAGTTCATCAAGAATAGGAAGAGCAGGGCCTTCTCGAAAGTCAACTTTGTGAGCAACACCAGCTTTCTCTAACGTGGGACGGCCCACTTCATAGGTTTTCCTGTCAATGTCCATGGCCAATATCTGCATCAAAAAAATAATTTTAGTCCTACATGAAAAGTAATAATTTTTAAAGAAATTCAGACTGTTCAATAACAATCAAATATATATATAAGAAAATTCGAATTGATGGAAAACTTTTAAATGTCTCTTTCTCGATTCTTATTAAAATTCATATAATCTACACTCATTTATTTGTTGACGGCGATTGGTCCCTAGCAAGGTTGCTGAATAGGCTGATTCTAGTGGAAATTAAAATAAAATCCGAAAAAATTTAAGTTATGAATTAAATAGTGATGATAATTAAAATGACATTAAGCTTGCTGTCAGAAACGCATTGCACACCAAAAAGATGATTATGATGTTTCATCTTAATTTATATTATTTAAATTAATTTTGGATGGTCTAAATTTTAAATTTAATTATATTTAAAAAAATTATTTCTATAGATGCAGAATTTCAAATAGAAGTAATTTTATAATTGACAATTCTTATACAGTTGGTAAACAAAAATTAGAATGGGCACAATTAACAGAATTAGAAGTTTTTACACAATTTGTTTTTAATCTGGATAAAACTTCTCAAAATCAATTGGCAAGAATGCCATGGTGGAAAAAAAATATTTATCATTAAAAATTTATACTATCTCTAATCTTTAATATAAGAGCTTATTTGATTTTTAATTTGGTTCTAAATATAAGACCCCAATCCATTTTATTTTTCATATTTATTCATTTTTTTACAGTAGTCCTTGTAGTAGCTGCAGATGTTAAAGGCTTCATCAAATAGTAATTCTAGCTAATGTATATAATCAGCAAGGGCATTTTAGAAAAGACAACACTTATTTATAACAAATAACTCAACCAATTTTTTGAATCTCTCTAAATTAGTCAACTAGGTCCTACCCTAAACCCTAAACCCTATATTAAGGACCGGAGGTAGTAATTTATATGAAAATTCTAGATAGGTGAAGGGTGATGAAGAGTGACCTTGCCATGTTGGGGGAGAGCGAGAGCAGTGGCAAGCAGAGAGTAGCCAGTAAGCACACCAATTTCCATGGCGTTCTGGGCGTTCATCAGTTTAATCAGCATGTTCAGAAATTGCACTTCATCTGCCGTCGTCGCCATCATGCTCCTATATATATAGATATATATATACATGTATATATTCATCATCAACCCACAAACAAAACCCCAATATATATAATTATCTCAAGTTGAGATCAGAGTGTATATATATACACATACAATGGATGCTTTTCTGTTATCTCTCTCAGTTCCTTCATGCATTCTGGCTCTCTCGGATAAACACTGGTTTCCATGATATACTGCAACAACATAATATACATATCACAGTCCAATAATATATATTGGATTTTCTCGAAATCATCATCAAATGGTTCTTATTATATACAGAGTACTACGGCCAAAACAAGAGGAAATCGAACAATGAGAGAGAATAATAAGAAGTAAAGGGTTTGATTTGAGGGTACGTACCTGGTAAAGAGCATCACTCCTCAAGTGGTTCTTGGGCATCACTGCTGCTTCACTTTGCTTTTGGTGCCCATTATTATTAATGGATGATGATGCCATTGTTGCTTCAAAAAGCTTAGCCTTTTGCGAATTGATCATGAGATGAAGATGAATGAGAAGATGGCGTTATATATACACACACAAGTAAGGAGGACTCCTCCGGGTTAGACTGTTAGTTAAATTTCTTTTAGGCGCATGCCGTTAACAGGTTGGTGAATACCTAAACATTTGCTTTGATATTATAAGTCACTTCTGGAATTTTTTCTATGAGCACTTCTGACACATTCTATTGGAGTAACTTTACACTCGCTATTTACACACACACAGCACGGATAAATAAATAAAAAAAGTATCTAATCATATCATTAATTTAATAATGTAACTTATAGATAAGACTCAAAAGATTTATAAATGAGACGAAAAGGTACAGTATGAAAAACTCGTACTATACAGTGAACGTGTTCAAACTAATAATCCAATAATTAATCTACACAATTAATATAACCACATAGTAATATAAGATAATTAATTAATTAAGTTTATATATTAGTTAAATTTCTAATTTAATTTAATTTAATTTTTATTCTAAATTCTCACAATTCTCATAACCCAAAATTAAGTATTTTAGAACTAACTTATAATTTTCTAACAAGTCAAATTATTCATTTACATCCTTTGGATTATTTAATTTAATAAAAAGAATTTTTCAAAAATTTCAAATATGAAATTATTATATTTCAAATTCTAAAAACCCCATATGAAGTTTAAATATCAAAACCAAACCATCAAAAAATCAATAGTACTTCAAATCTTTATAAATAAACAATCTAATCAAAATTCTAATGGTATTTCTGGTTTTTTTCACAAATAATGGATTTTTTTAGCTAAAATAATTATTTTAAAACCTCAAGTTATCCAATAAATAAATCTCAATAATATGTCAAACAATCCAAATAAATTATTTAACTTAATTTTGATTGGTATAAATATGATATGTCTCATGAATAACAAATTTTTCAACTAAAAATTAATTTTTAAATACTAAAACCAATAAATGGACAACTGATAGAAATGATTTACTATAATAGATTTACAATACTGTAGTTAATACTCGTTAAAATTCAATACTTGTTTAAAACTCTAAATCCAAAAATTTTCTCTAATTAACACAAAATTAATATCATCAGATAGACTTAACTGAGTAGAACAACTTTCATAAAAAAAATTTTGTAATTAAGAGTAGTTTTACTTACCAAAATATACTGTAACGATGGAGAAAGAAATGGAAGAGAGAGCGACGCTGCGATATCCGGGAGAGAGGGGGGAGGGAGAAGAAAAGCAAATGATGAGAGATGAGGATGAAAAGAAAATATTCGAGATAAACTGAAGTTAAAGACCCTATTTAAGGAAAGATGTAACAGTTTGGAATCTCATTTTTTCTCAATTTTTAAATATTTAAATCTTAAGAATAAAAATTAAAATGTTACAGGGATGGAATTATAACGAGTCAAATTTTAGGGATTGAGTCATAATCTAGTTAAAAGTTCAAAGACTAAAAAAATTGAGGTACTGAAAACCAGACTGGTAAGTGAACTGGTTAAGAGAGTAGTTTAAGAGTTAGTAGGTTAGACTGGAGTCAACTCAGGGTAATAATTAAAATAATTTAATTTAATTAAAATGTGTAAAAATATTTATATTTTAATTAAAAAATTTAATAATAAATAACAAAACTAATATACATATACACACATTTAATATTATAATAATTAATAAAGGAATCAGAGAGCTTGGACGCTTCTCTCCTCTGGAACCAGTTTCCTGCTAAGCACTGTGGTGAGCACTTAATACACGCTATTTCAATTAATAGCAGCCAGGCTCCGTTGTTTCATTCGTTCAATTGTAGTTTTTCAAAAACTGTGGTCCCTAACAAGATACGGAATCATGAATCATCATGACAAAAATAACTTTTTTTATTTTTATTAGGAAATTATGATTAGAAAAAAAATTATATATCGATCGAGAATGAAATCTCAAAGACGATGTAATTAAACAAATAAAATTCATATCTCAACGTTAACCTAATTAAAGAGTCTCTAACATGCTTAGCGTCAACTTTTGGAAGAAAAACCGAAAAGGAGTCTCTGACTTTCTGTGACTGAAGGTTGGGAGAAGGCATCAAATAAAAAAACTTTCAAATTAAAGGTGTCTGAACTGAAAACACTACAAAATTTTTTGAAAGTTTTAATTTTTTCAAAGCAAGGAAATTTCTCCATTACAGCAAAAAAATTTTAGAATTGGACGGTTAAGATTATCATGCAACCAATGGTCAAGATTTCTCCATTATTTAGAAAAAGGATGCATTTGGGGGTGCTTATCACCATGCTTAGCAGGAAACTGGGTCCCCTCCCCTCCTCTTCATATTACATATATTTATATATAATATAGGATGATAAATATGATTGACGGATGGGATTAATAGTTTAATACTTTAGTTATAATGGGCTTCCTGTTTCAAGAATGATTTCAGACCTTGAAAAGCAAAAATGTCGGTAAGTGGGAAATAAGTTTGCGTTGGAAAGCGTGAGACAAGATGTAATTGTGATGTGATACTGACAGACACCTGATGGTTTATATCTCTCCTTTATAGAGAGTTAAAAAAATCGTAACCATTCATTTGAAATGAATGGCTATGATATATTCACTTTTGATACAAAGAATGTCGATTCAAGGTCTCACATGACAGCGCCTATGATAGACGTCTAGTACTACACATCTGCTCTTAAAAGCGTTTCGTTAGAAATCAGTAATTTTAAAAATAATTTTATAATATACAAAATAAATATAGAAAAAAAAAATTATCTTAATTTATAAAAAAAATATTTTTTAAAAATACTGTTCTAATTTGTCAAACACCCTCTAGAAAAACAAAGAAAAATCCGATCCAACAATGGGGAATGTCTGACTGGGTTTTTTTTTCCTCTTAGTTCTTTTTCATCTTTCTCTACCTTCTTTTCCCTTCTTTCTTCAAGATCTGTTTCTTTATTTTTTCAATCTGTCCCTTTTAACCATGGCATCTATTGTACTACCTCCAGTCCTTAATATAAAACTCTGTTTGACTTTTTGTTTGGTCATAATTATAAGACTCTAATCCATTTTGTCTCTCATATTTATGTATTTTTTTTCCAAAATAGTCTTTCTAATAATGATAGTTCTAGCCAATACACTTAATTAGCAAGGATATTTTAGAAATGACAATATTTATTTATTACAAATAACTAACTTAACTTACTTCCTTAATCTCCTCAAATAAGTCAACTGGGTCTTATAATTAGGACTGGAGGTAGTATATTTTAGCATCTGGGAGCAACAGAAAAAAAAGAACCGTGTAGTTATGACTGAGCCACTCCGGTTTATACTGGGTGATCCCAAGTTAGTTGTTTCCCAGCTTAGAAGCTTGACCAAACTGGACAACTGATCGGATTTCTAGTTTCCTGTCCAACCCAGCCAATCTGGTCTGGGTTTTAAATACTATGAAAAAAATTAATTTTCTCTTTAATTTAAGAACAAAATTAAATTCTAGAATATTTCAACTAGACATTTTAAAATGAAAGAAATAAAAAAATTTGGCTGAGATGATGGCATGAAATCAAAATCGATCTACTGTTTATAAGTGCTTAGGTAGAAGTTACGACTTTTCGCATTTTATTTAATTAACCCCCCAAAATGTAAGGAGCATCAAATGATTCCCACAAAAAAAGAAAAAATCTTATAGAATGGGATAGAGAATATACTTAGTGAGCATTTAATTTTGGAATAATAAACATAAAAAGTCAAATGAATTGAGATCTTATATTTAAAATCAAATCAAATGACGCAACATATGTACTACTTCCTGTTGGCGGTAGCACCAAAATTCTCCAAGATCCAGTAGATCTTCCACCTCCTCTATAATGCTAGGCAAACCCTGTTGACAGCAGCACCTGCAGAGAACGGTAAATCCGAGTCGTGTCTTACAGACACTGTCCTTAAGAGCTATTCCGCAACTACCGGCAAAGCAAAAAGCGGCACTCCCCAGGATTGAACGGATTCTTCCTGTAAGAATAGGGTGAGCAGAACAGCGAAAGGTAAAAGAATTTAGTAAGACAGAACACCAGAGGAGGGAAGAGAGTTGCCCGAAAGGTCAAAGCTCAGTCCTTGTGAACTTCGGTTTCATACCCCATTTATAGGCCGCGGATCACAAGAGAGCATTGGGCACTTAAACACAATTAAGTTTCAGTTTCAATATCATTAACTCACTTAATGAGGATTTAGACTTATTAAAGACGTCAGTTACAAATATTGAAGAGGTATAATGGTGATTAAGGAGGTATTAATTAGACAGATATTTTTCATAAAAGGTGCCCAATACCGCGTTTGACTCATGCACAGGGGGTGAGGGGAAATTGCCGGATTTGTCTCCGGTGGCCTATTGTGCGTACGAGTCCACTCCTCCTCTTGGCCCATTTAGCAGCCCAAGACCTCTTATTACTTGGACCCCCACAATCCCAAGCAATGTGGGACTCTTCCTTTGACACACCCATACATAATATTTATAACAATCCCCCACATGTGTCAAAGGAAGTACCTTTAGTTGAGTTACACACATGAGTATAACCATTGTATCTGGTGGTCCTTTGGACTTAAAACCCGACCTAGACCAATAACACTTAGTACACAGAGATGTTGGTGGTCCTATGAACTTAAAACCAATACCTCTTAGGCGTATACTAGAGGCATTATTAGTCAGATTATACCCCCACATTTTCGCTGTTAACGGCGTTTTTGCGCGTTAAGACGGCCATGCGCGTGCCTGGTGCATAACGAATGCTTTAGAGATTTTGCCATGATCTCATAGGAGCGGCCCCACTCCACATTCGTAGAGGTGATTTCATTAAGTGTACCTGCAATGAGCGCACTATCCCGTAGGACTACGAAATCATTAAGAGCTTCCGCTCAGCCTCACCAAAATGCATTCTAGCACTTTTTCATGTCATAGGAAGGGACCAGTATTTTGTTTCAGTGCTAGCAGAACTGACAAACGACTTGTTCTTACCCATTGAACCTTCTTTATGGGATCACCAATCACAAGGGTTGGGTTGCCATCGTTGTCAATTTCAAGTGGCAT